GACTGCATTACATCGGAATACGAGTGCGAAATGAGTTGATTGGAGAGGTTTGTGGACCGACTGCGCGACCGATGTTTATCTGAATGCAAAACATATGGCATGAATTGACACATTCAATGGCAACACATGATCAACGCATACCATAGTTGTCGATGACTTCTTCGATGATCAGTGTTTCCCTGTTTTGATGGCATAAGAGTTCGTCCAATAACTGGAAATCGTTTCTAAGGTTCAGTTCTCGCGGAGGAAAGCCTACGAGCACTCGGAGGGCCGTCGGGTCCACACCTGTTATGCTGAGTAACACTGCCTTCAGGTCTTGCACTGTGTTGTCTGCGGACAGGCTTTCAATCATATGCTGTCCTTTCGGTGTTTTGCACCGCAGAAGAAGTGGTCGATTGAGTGCAGCCATCGATGCGCTCAACGATTGATTTAATTGATTAAAAATGCAAATCAATTGCAAATAAATTATAAAATTAAAAACATATAAAATTATAATTAAGACTAAAATAAACTATTAATTAATTGAATGAAAACTAATTTAAAATCATTTTTTTCAATTAAAACCTAAACTAAACTCCGATTCAATTAAACATCACTTTTGTTGACATTTTTGCTAACATTTTGTGCATTCATTCAATCAATACTAAAAACACAGACTATTAGGCCATCTATTGGTCTATTGTTTACACTATTATTACATTTATTATTGATTTTATTATAATTCATACGTTTATTAATAGTTTTAATTACTTTTAATGCTTTTACTTAATTAATTAGTTTATGTGAACATATATTTTAATTTAAATATTGGTTTAAATAGATTTGTAACAAAATTAACTCAAATATAATGTATAAAAAATAAAGTTTCAAAGTTTGACATAATTTACACGTTATTTATTTATAGATAAAAAGCGCCAAAAGTTTTCACATTTTGTGTCCAATATTTGTGCGCTTTTTATGCAATCAATGATTGAATGTTTGTTTGAATCAATTGTCAGACAATAAGCCGAAGATGTGGTCAAACAATACGGAACTGATCAGTGAAGTGATCGCCGTTTGCAACGATTTGGGCCATAAAAGCAAACAATCGGACAATAAGTACATTATCAACAAAAAGGACTGCAATCATGTCCTCAAAGACCTGATCCGATATCTGCGAAACGACACGAAACACACGTTTCCCGTCAGAAGCCAATTGGGATCCACTAATATCGTGGACAACGATCTGACTGCATTACATCGGAATACGAGTGCGAAATGAGTTGATTGGAGAGGTTTGTGGACCGACTGCGCGACCGATGTTTATCTGAATGCAAAACATATGGCATGAATTGACACATTCAATGGCAACACACGATCAACGCATACCATAGTTGTCGATGACTTCTTCGATGATCAGTGTTTCCCTGTTTTGATGGCATAAGAGTTCGTCCAATAACTGGAAATCGTTTTTGAGGTTCAGTTCTCGCGGAGGAAAGCCTACGAGCACTCGGAGGGCCGTCGGGTCCACACCTGTTATGCTCAGTAACACTGCCTTCAGGTCTTGCACTGTGTTGTCTGCGGACAGGCTTTCAATCATATGCTGTCCTTTCGGTGTTTTGCACCGCAGAAGAAGTGGTCGATTCAGTGCAGCCATCGATGCGCTCAACGAGTGATTTGATTGATTAAAAATGCAAATCAATTGCAAATCAATTATAAAATTAAAAACATATAAAATTATAATTAAAACAAAAATAAACTATCGATTAATTGAATGAAAACTAATTTTAAAAACATGTTTTCAATTAAAACCTAAACTAAACTCCGATTCACTTAAACATCACTTTTGTTGACATTTTTGCTAACATTTTGTGCATTCATTCAATCAATACTAAAAACACAGACTATTAGGCCATCTATTGGTCTATTGTTTACACTATTATTACATTTATTATTGATTTTATTATAATTTATACGTTTATTAATAGTTTTAATTACTTTTAATGCTTTTACTTAATTAATTAGTTTATGTAAACATATATTTTAATTTAAATATTGGTTTAAATAGATTTGTAACAAAATTAACTCAAATATAATGAATTAGAAATAAAGTTTCAAAGTTTGACATAATTTACACGTTATTTATTTATAGATAAAAAGCGCCAAAAGTTTTCACATTTTGTGTCCAATATTTGTGCGCTTTTTATGCAATCAATGACTGAATGTTTGTTTGAATCAATTGTCAGACAATAAGCCGAAGATGTGGTCAAACAATACGGAACTGATTAGTGAAGTGATCGCCGTTTGCAACGATTTGGGCCATAAAAGCAAACAATCGGACAATAAATACATTATCAACAAAAAGGACTGCAATCATGTCCTCAAAGACCTGATCCGATATCTGCGAAACGACACGAAACACACGTTTCCCGTCAGAAGCCAATTGGGATCCACTAATATCGTGGACAACGATCTGATCCCTATTGTCGAACAGTACTGTTCCGAAGACATACCACTGTTTGACAAGACGTTGCGACTATTGGACGACTTGACGAATCCGGTGATAATCCTCTTCCAGGAGAAGATCCCGACAGAGATCTCTCAATACCAGAAGTATCTGGAATTTCAGTCACATTTGTATTCATATAAGTTGTCGTTTGGCTCTCATCGACGCTTTTGGACGGTTTTGGCCAAACATTTGACACGAATTATCGAAATGGACGACGAAAACAGACAAATCGAGGACTTCCTGATGGCTGAGCGCATACTTATACTCATCCGAAACGTGTTATACATTCCCATCGATATGTCCGCCAACCAGAAGGTGTCCGAAGAGTACACCAATCCTCACGACCGCATCATTGAAGTCCTGCACAGTTCGGGAATTATTGATCTGATCCTCTATTTGTCCAACGATGACACTCAGCAACAGTTCCAACAGTTTTGCTTTCATTTGATTGAAATCATTTCATTGATATTTAAGGAACAAAACGCAGAATTTATTGCCAAAAGTGTTGGCAATCACGAGGAAAACGGCGGATCCAATGGCGACCGAAGAACTGATTTCGAGCGGGAAATCGATCGCAAAGAAATCAAAGAACTGAAGGCCAGAGATGTGAGCGTTTTGGCGAAAGTGAGGCCAAATCTGAACCGATTTAACGGCACTTATTCTATAAAGAATATGAAATCCATTAGCGATAGAGATATTGTTTGTCACAAAACACCACAAGATTTGAGTCAAATTAGTTTTGACGCCAATAAAGATATCAAACGAAAACTCCGCTCAAAGAAACCAATGGAAGACACGGTCACTAATAAGACCAGTTTCGGGCCTCAAGTCATCCATAAGTCGTCGTTTAGAGTGAGAAAAATATTGTACGACTTTTGCGTCGAATTTCTCAACTCTTACAACCAATTCATGCGAAGAATTAGCGATAATTTGATGCGAAATCAGTGCCAACACAACGACGAGACCTATTATCTGTGGGCCATTCAGTTCTTCATGGAGTTTAACAGAACTAATCCCAAGGGATCGGACAGATTGTTGGTCTCGGAGACCATGTGTTTGTCTTCATTTCATTACCTGAACACTCAAATCGATCATTACATGGAAATTATCAAAACAGATAAACAAGCGTTTAATCTGTGGTCTAAACGACTCCATCACGGAATCAAAGCCTATAGAGAGGCGTTGTTTAGTTTAAATTGGTTTGATTTGGCCAAAGAGGAAGACACCAGATATATAGCGAAGTCTATAAAGAAGAAACTCTTCTATGAAGTGGAATATAGGGATCAATTGCTGGCATTGCTTCACGAGTACAACGAAGCGAAGATGACTAAAACGCTTCTCAAAGACCTCATCGAAACTAATCATCTGTTTATTAAATTGCTTGAGAATTATTACAAAAACAATTCTCGACTTTTAATCCGAGAGAAAGTCAGAAGAGTTAAGAAAAAGAGTACTCAGAAGAAGACACCCATAGAGAAGACTCCGCCCGAAGATATATGGAATGAAATCATATCCACTGTGTCTGAGGCTCTGTCGGGAAGTCTTGAGTTGCCGTCACCTGAAGAGGACATATCTGTTCGCGCTTTTGACGCCACGTCTGAGAAGACATCAGACGAACAAAAGATGGATGTCTTGCGAAGAGTTAATAACTTTTTGTTGGATAGAAAAGTAGTCGAAGCCATCAGTTTATATCGCGACGCGAGAAATTGCTGGACAGGAGACGAAGACAACGCTTTTGGCGCCGCAGACATCGCTCCCGAAGACGAGTTACTCTCGTTGAACGAGATATTGATGACTGAATTCCCTAATGAGGCCACAGTTGAGGAACCAATGGATGAAGAAATTGAAGAGCAGACTGAAGAAAGAGAGAGCCGCCAAAGGGTTCGAGAGCGAGAAATCGAGTTCAATGAAGTGATCCATAAGTACTGTCACCGGAATGTTGTCCGCAATTATTGCCTTTTATTGAGATCTTATGAGACGAATAGCGACGAAACAAATCACTGTTTACTGAAAATGTTGCACAGAATTGCTTTCGACTGTAAAATGCATGCAATGCTATTCCAGGCGTCACTGTTTCGCACATTTCAACGAATACTATCTGATCCGTTGCGCGACTCGTCTTCCGTCAAAGAACTTAAAAGATTTGCCAAATTTATTGTCTCGAAGTTTATTCTTGTGGCCAAAAAGAACGATAAGGTATTCTTTGAGTTACTTTTCTGGAAGAGCGCAACTGAGGCCACACAAGTGGAGGACGGATACAGTGTTAGTGTCAACACAAAGGGCGCCAAACAGTTGTGGTCTGAAGAACAGGAATTGGAGCTCAAAGTTCTGTTTGAAGAATACAAAGACAAAGGCACTGCTGATAAGGATTACGTCGATCTCATTGTCGACCATTTGATTGATGACACGAAGACTAGAAGACAAGTGATTAAAGAGCTTAAGCGACAGGTTTGGGTCTCACGTTCTTTCGTTATTCTTTTGATAATCTTATGTTATTTTTTCAATTTTAGGAAATATTTGTTGAAACGAAAAAGAGAAGAGTTTTATCAGAGAAGAAACGCTCAAAGAATTCAAATGTGACCGAAAATAGACGTTTCACTAGTAATGAATTCGTTGACGACAGCGATAGTAGTGATGGTGAGGACCGTAGGGAAGACCACAACTCTGTTAACAACGATATGGAGGCCAGAAGTCCGAAGAGAAACCAATTGACCGACAGTGAAGACGAAGATAATGATGGCGTAATACCTGAAGATATAGAGGCAGAAAATAGAAAGGATATCGAGAAACAAAATGTGAATTCTGATGATTCAAATGATGGCATCAATGAGAGCGACAAAAATGGTAAAAGAATAGAAGACAACGGTTTGGACGATAAAAGTGAATCGAGTGATAGTGAAGACAGCGATGAGAATAATCTTCAAATTAATGAAGACATCGACGAAACTGTCGAAAGTCCTAAGAATAACGATATGAAAGAATCTTCTGATGAATCGAGCGATGAAACGAATGTGGAAACGAATAAACGATCATTTGATGATTCAGATGATGAAGAAGTGGTGGTTATGTCGAAGAATAAAAAGAGGCATTTGATTATCGATGACTCGGACGAAGACTGAATATGATATGGGATTAATAAATATGATATTTTTGAAGTCATTTTTATATCACAATTTGATTCACTTATTATTTAAGATAATGAATATTACATGTATTTGTCTATATATTACACAATTATAACTAACTTATATTAATAATAAATATTGCATTTTAATTAAATGATAAATCATTAAATATAATAAACATTTTTATAATGATGCCAACTATAACTCAAACCACAATTCATTATTTTAAATTTATGTATAAAATTGATTATTTATTTCCAATCTATGAGTTAAACTCAATGGAAGAAACCAAAGAACTTACTGTATATTAATGAAAATGATTATAAATAACTTAACTTTATAATTATAATATGAATCGCTGACACATTTGTGAGCATTAATATAAAGGAGTAAAAGGTATTAAATATAATAAGTTGAAAATTTTGAAAGTTGAAAGTCAAAGATAAATGATTTAATTGCGATATTCTTGTTATCAGAACTGATTTGAAATTAAGTGATTTCATGCTTTGAACATAATTATCGTTTTTAATCATCAAATATGAAATTATAATTTTTTATATAAATGTACCAAAAAGTGTCTGTCTATTGAATAGTTTAGATTTATTTCTTAAATTTGAATTAAAATGTGTTTCAAATATGTGTTAATTTATTTGTTTTTAATAACAAAACTGAATGGAAAAATATTGTCTAATAATTCAGTTTCATTGAAACCGAAAAATTTTGAGGTATTTATGCAAAGAATTAACGAAATTAATGACAAAGAAATGTTTCGTTCGCGAGCTCTCAATACAAGCGCCGATGCGTTTGACTGCGAGATCGAGACATTAGAGTCTTGCGAAGCAAACTTTCTCACAAATACCGCAAACATCGCTAAGACTACCACTCAATCAGAGATCCTTCAGTCCTGTCAATCATTGGATAAAGACGTGGACTGTTTGCTTGATTTCCTCAACAAGTGTCCCGACATAGAAAAGAGCAGTAGTTTTACTATACTTTCCTACATCTATGACAAGAATCGAGATATTGTGGACACATGTAAACAGCGGACGGATGAATGGCTCGACCCTCACCACCACTCTTACATTAATTGTT